TGGCCGAGGCCAACACGAAAGAAGAGACATGTGCCTTTGTGGATACGATCGTGAAACTGAACTTGAGTACCCTTTCCAGAGTTGCTGAGGATTTGGCGGGCAAAGCGCAACAACAGGTTTGAGATTTTCAATTTCTTTCGCTGGTTTTTTTGTTTATTAGCTAAGTAATTAGGTTAGTAGCTAGGAAGAGAATTAGAAATTTCAAAAAACAACGAAAAGACAAAAAAGACAAAAAAAAAAATTTTAAAAACAAAAAGATTTTGGTTTCCTCTTTTTTTTTTTCCTTTCTTATTTGCTGAAAAAAACATTGAAAAAACAAAAAAGACAAAAAAAATCCAAAAAAGAAAAAAGATTTTTGCTTCTTTTTTCTCGTTCACTTTTCTTTAGTTGGAAAAGAATTTTCAAAAAAAAAAATTGAAAAATCAAAAAAGTGAAAAAAGATTTTCGTTTCTTTTTTTTTTCTTTTTTATTTGCAAGCAAAGAACAAAAAACATTGAAAAAAACAAAAAATCCAGGAAAAGCACAAAAATATTTTGGTTTCTTTTTCTGTTTACTTTTTTTAAGCATGAAAAGCATTTTTGAAAAAAAAGCAAAAAAAAGTGAAAAATGATTTTGGTTTCCTTTTTACTTTTTTATTTGCAAGTAAAGAACGAAAAATTGAAAAAACAACAAAATCCAAAAACACACAAAAAGATTTTGGTTTCTATATTCCTTTACTTTTTATTAGTAGGGAAAGAAATTTTTTTTTTTAAAAAAAAAGCAAAAAAATGTAAAAAAATGAAAAAAAAGACATTATAGAAAATTCGCTTAGCTCTACCTAACCTGTATCCATCAACTATGCAAGAGGTGTTATTGTTTTCAAAAGGAAAAAAGGGTAATGCATAATTTTAAATCTGCCACTTTAATGTCTCATAAATACTCTACAAGATCAGTAATTAAATTTCTGTCCTTTTGTTAACTAAACAGCACTTGATTCTTTTTTGCCCTATTTAGCCTGCCTATAAACGCTATCTTCTTAACTTTTTAACTGTTAGTGAACATTTTAATAGCCACTGATGATCACTTGAGTTCCTATTAGTATGTCTAAGTGAGTTCCCTATAAATTTGCCTAAATACCAGAGGTGAAAATGATAGGTACTTCCACTTTCAAGCGTCAAAGTCAGCTATACTTGGGAATCTGTCTAAAGCTACTTCACACGCCTTTGCACGTATAACAACTAGCCCCGTAATTGTGTGATAATGCGATGGTATAGCTTTTGATGTGAATGAAATACTAATTGGCCTCTTTCCATTTCTACCTTGGCTTAGAAACTGAAAAAAGTACAAGTTAAAACTTGAAGTCTGCGCCTAGTGATTGGAGTTGACATCTTAATAAGTTGGTGAGGTGATAAAGCAATCAAGGTCAAGTTAGTGCCATGTATCTGTTGTGGTTCCCTGTTCGGTTGTTGCAGAGTAAGCCAAGTCGGGAGTCTCGCTATACCAAATAATAAGTGAGCGTGCAGTTGTGATTCACATGCCAAACATCTCCCGAGTGAGCCAGTTACATTCTCAGGAGACCTAAAAATGAATAAGTGCAAAAAGAGCACAAAATAGCACAAAATAGCACCAAAAAAAAGGTGCTTCTGAAAAAAATTGGGATTGCAATTGCCACAAGAGGGACAGCTTTGCAGTCGAAAACAAAATCTATTAACAACCTGCAGCCAAGTCCTTGCACTCACACAGCGAGGGACAATTGGGGGAACCCCACCGCAACTACAGTGCAGGCCAACCACTATCGTTACTAATGTTAACACCCTGGTTCTGGTGAGCAATTCTAGATCTCACTTGGACCTTCGACTTTTAGGTATATTGGGATTTTAAACCAAAAATCTTGGTTGCGGATGAAAAGTTGAGACGAGTCTTTTGGACGTTTTTAATCCAATTCCTGTGAGCACACCATCTTTCTTTAATATAATTGTCATATGGGCCAGTTAGTATTGAATTCATATCAAATTGTTATGCTTGAACAAATTCCTTTTACTAGGCTAGATGACATTTCATCCCTCACACATGCTGAAGACCGGGAATTAACCAATTATTGCTATTTGATACAGCCTGCTCTATATGTTTTTGAGTGGGAGTATTCGTTAATTTTTCCTTGCATTCAATGCCATAGGGGGTATTCATTGTCCAAGGTGACTTGTCTATGATCGCGAAGAGATGGCTTATCATGCTTGGCACTAGAGACATGAAGTTTTTAACTCCACCTGTGTTGACACAATACATCACACAGCCGGTCCCAAGTCCGGATGAAGTAGGAGGATTTTATGCTTTAGAAGGCAGCTCTTAGCGTACGTTCTCAAAATCCTTTTGTGTAGATTATGTATGAAAGGTTGGTGAATGTGAATTTTTTTTTTCATTCTTCTTGGTAGTGCTGAATTTCTGGTCTTCATTTCATAGTTGATCTGGATTTTAGCATCTATCCCTGATAGGTTGCAATTTTATCATTTATTTTATTATTAATTTCTCCTATTACTTGACCTGATATGGATTAATTATTAGATTTTACTCACTTTTCATAATTTGCATTTATTTCAGGGAATAGAATGAAAATATGATAACAAGTGTCAATTTGACAGAAAAGGAGTCCAAGGGGCAATGTTGGCAACGGAAAAACTGGGGCCTATTTCGGTAATTGCTGAGGAAAAGAAAGACGGAAGTCTTCCTGACCGTTGGGCAAGCCGTCGCACGAGAGCATCAAAGGCTACTTAGATAGAAATTGAGTAGAGGACTTTTTCTTTTTTTTTTAGCTTTTGTTGACTTTTCCCTGAGACCTTTTCTTTTGCTTTTGATTCTTACGGATGTCAGGAGCACTTAGAAGATTCAATCACTCTATTTAAGTTTCGTCCCCTTTTATTCGTACGGATGAATTGAATTTCCCCAATTTCCAAGGACAATGGCTGCGGCTTTCTTTACAATTTCCTGTGGGTTTTGTTCATCAAATATGAACTGATTTCCTCACTCTAGTCAAGGGACAACGGAGGCTTTGGTTCACCTAAAAATTGTGAAATCGATTTAATTTTATTTTTTCCTTTTATTTATTGGTATTCGCATATTCTTTGATTGCAGTACTTATGATTATTTAATTAATTGATTGTCTTGGATCCGGATAATTAGTTAACTTGATAATCTATTGTCAATTAGGGCATTAAATCCGTAATTGTTTAATTGCCTTGAATTAGTGACAGCTGACACGATTGGATTTGTGTCAGGGGAATACGCGGGCTAATATGAAATAACCCTGGTAGTGTGTTATTTGGTTATAATAGGGCTCATCTAATACGTAAGACAATTGGAGAATTAAATCTTATGGGCGTACCTAGGATTATTTCTCAATTAGAGTAGTGATTAACGGGCGTACCTTGATCACCGACGCAGTAAGGAGGGGTTGACTGTCATCGCTTATTTGGCAGTTATAACCTATTTATTAATAAATAATTGGAATTGCTTGAGCATCGATAATCAATTAGGTGAACCATTGCTGAAGTTATTTCTTGGCTAGATCTTTAATTATCACCCATTTGATTTTAGTAATTTGTTATTTAATTTTTAGTAGATTCTTAGATTTTATTTGAATTTCTTTGATTGTCACCTTCTGCACAAAAACACCCCCTTTGTTACTGTAAATTTGAAAAGAAACAGTTACACCCAATCCCTGTGGATTCGACCCTACTTACCACTATTTACAAAAATTAACTTTAGTTGAGTAGATTTTTATTATTGTACAGGTCCAACACCTGTCAATTTTTTGCGCCGTTGCCGGGGACTAGTGTCAGTTATTTATTTCTTTTTAAATTCATTTTTGCTCTAATTTTCTGGTATTTTTCTAGTATCTGCCTCGGTCATCTCGTACAGGTGAATTGATTTTTGACCCTGAGGTAGAAAAGACTGCGCGTAGAACGAGAAAAGAGACCAGACAACTCAGAGAGGAGCAATCAAGTGCTGCATCTTAGAGACTTGAGCCTGAAGTTGAACCAACAGATTCGTTTGGTGACACTTCGAGTGACTCGAATCAAGAAGAAGTCACTATGACTAATGCACAAACATTAAGGGAGTTGGCTGCTCCTGATTTAAATCAGCAGCCTTTGTGCATTTCCCAAGATTAAATGATAACACTCCATTTGAATTAAAATCTGGTCTAATTCATTTTTTACCATCTTTTCATGGTTTGCTAGATGAAGAGCCGTATAAGCATTTGCAGGAGTTTGACGTCGTGTGCAACAGTATGAAGCCCCGGGAATTACAGAAGAGCAAATAAAAATGAGGGCATTCCCCTTCTCCTTGAAAGACTCTGCAAAGGATTGGTTGTACTACCTACCACCAAGTAGTATCATCACGTGGGGCCAGCTGAAGAAAAAGTTCTCAGACAAGTACTTTCCTGCGTCTCGAGCTGCAAGTCTAAGAAAGGAGATTTGTGGTATCAAGCAGCACCCAAGGGAGTCACTCTACGACTACTGGGAGCGATTCAAGAAATTGTGCATCAAGTGCCCCCAGTACTAAATAAGTGAGCAGTTGCTCATACAGTATTTTTACGAGGGGCTCCTTTTCAGAGACAGAAGCATCATTGATGCTGCGAGTGGAGGGGCACTGGTGAACAAGACCCCTCGGGCAGCGTGGGAACTAATTGAGGGAATGGCGGAGAATTTGCAGCAATTTGATATGAGGGAGGATGTCCCGATACGCAAGGTAAATGAGGTAGAGACATCCTCTATCCAGCAGCAGTTGACTGAGTTGACTTCTTTTGTTAGGCAACCGGCTGTTGGAAATTCATCACAAGCCAAGGTGTGTGGGATTTGCACTGGTATGGGTCATTGTACAGGACATGTGCCCAATGATTCAAGAAGAAAGTGCAGAGCACGTAAATATGACTGGTCACGCGCCTGCGCCCGCGCCAAGAAAGGCCTACGACCCGTATTCGAACACATATAACTCGGGCTGGAGAGTTCACCCTAACTTCACCTATGGAGGAAATTGGCAAATCCAATTTTACACCAAACAGGCAGCAAGGGCATCAACAGCAGTATCAGCCGCGCCCACCACCACCCCCCTCTTCAAACTCAAGTCCGTCTTTGGAAGAAATGATGAAGCAATTACTTGCTAATCAACAAAAGACGGACTCTAACGTGCAAAGCATGAGGAATCAACTGGGACAAGTGCAATCACTGCAAATTCAAGTAAATCAAATGGCCATCGCAATCAACCGTTTGGAGTCCCAGGTTTATGGAAAATTGCCGTCTCAACCTGAATTGAACCTGAAGAACGTAAGTGTGATGACTTTAAGGAGCGGGAAGAAAATTCAGGGACCTGACCTCACTATTTCAAAGGACAAGGATGAGGAAAAGATCGAAAACGAGCTTGAGAAGGGCAGTAATGGCATAAATTCAAAGGTACTCCCAGACCCAGCCATTACAGTAAAAACTAACTAGCCTCTCTTTCCTAGCAGGTTAGAGAAACCGAGGAAGTAGGATAATGAGAAGGAGATCCTGGAGGTGTTCCGCAAGGTGGAGATCAATATTCCTCTATTAAACGCCATCAAACAAGTGCCGAAATATGCAAAGTTTTTGAGGGACCTGTGCGTCAATCGAAGGAGGCTGAGGAGAGATGAAAGAGTCATCGTGGGGGAGAATGTGTCCGCAGTTTTGCAGAGAAAACTCCCACCAAAGTGCGGGGATCCAGGTAGGTTTACTGTCCCATGTAGGATAGGTAATACTTTGATTAGGAATACCCTACTGGACTTAGGAGCATCGATCAACGTAATGCCTAAATCTATGTATGCTTCTTTGAACCTCGGTCTATTAAAAGAAACTGAAATAATAATTCAATTAGTTGACCGAATAAATGCATACCCTGATGGGTTGGTCGAGGATGTGCTGGTTAAAGTTAATGAATTGGTATTTTCAGCTAACTTTTATGTATTTGACATGGATGATGATCATTCCCCTGACCCCTTACCTTTGCTGTTAGGTAGACCCTTTTTTAGTACAACACAGACAAAAATTGACATTAATAAGGGTACATTGTCCATGAAATTTGATGGAGAATTAGTCTATTTTAATATTTTTGATACAATGGAACATCTTGTTAACTCTCACTCTGTGTTTGTTATTCATGCTATTAATCTCTCTGTGCAAGAATTTTCTGAGTTTGTTTGTAGGGGCAAATTCAAATTTACTGAGAACAAATATAAGGGGATGAAAGCAACGTATGAGGTGAAAAGGAACAGGAAGTTAAGAAAGAAGGCTGCACTCAAAAGCTATTTGGATCCTGGAGGAGGGCCACCGATTACAAAGAAAATTGAGTTACACCTAGATTGAAGAGTGGTGTTCAATGTCTAGCCAAAAACATTAAAGAAAGGCGTTCATTGGGAGGCAACCCAATTTCTTTTAATTGTTTGTTCAGTTTTGTTTGATAGTTTAAATATGTTTTCCTTGAGTTTGACTGATTTCTGGCTTCAATTTTCGTTTTTGATGATTCGTAGGTATCTCTCTGACATGACGCGCCCGCGTCAAGTAGTATGGAGAGCTCATGGTCAGAAGAGTTCTCGCCCTCATGACGTGCCCGCGTCAAGTCGTATGGAGAACTCATGGTCAGAAGGGTTTTTACCTTCTTGACGTGCCCAAGTCACGTTCGCGGGAAAGATAAGTATTCAAAACTCGAGAACAGTTTTCGATTTCCTGTTAATCTCTAATTTTGAATTGCGAAAATAAGTTTTGTTAATAATAATATTCAAAAAAAAATAATAAATAATAAAAATAACAAAAAAAATTTTTTAAAAAAATGGGTCTTTCCGTTTAGCTATAACTTTTAATTTTCAAAATTAGAATTTATAAAAAATCTAAAAATGAAAAAAAAATGCAAAAAAGAGAGAAAAAAACAAAAAAAAACTATTTTGTTTTTTTTTTCTCTTTTCTTTTTTTTTCGTTCTTTTCTTTTCTTTCTTTGCTTTTTCTTTCTTTGCTTTTTCTTTCTTTCTTCTTCTTTCTTCCTCTTTTCCTTTCTTTCTTCTCCCCTGTTTCTTCTTCTTGTTCGGCCGAGCCACTGCCGCCGCCTCTCGTTCGTGCGCTTCCCCCTGGCCCCACCACGCGCGCGCCAATCTCTTATCTCTCTCCCTTCCCGTTCGCGTCTCTCCCTCCCTCGTGTGTCAATTTTCACCAACCGCCGCCACCGCACTTGCCCACCCTGGTGCCAGGTTGCCACTTTGGATGTTAGAGTGAAGAATATTAACGCCAATGTGGCCAACATTGCCCAAAATCTAGGGGCATTTATGCAGCACGCCAGTTTTCCTCCTCCTTTTGGGCCTCACCCGTCGATGTTTTGACGATTTCAGGGAAATACCGTTGCCCTTCTTCTTGCTATTACTGTTTATTTGTCACATTGAGGGCAATGTGTCATTTAGGTGGGGGGACAGCTGTGGTACTAGTATTTCTAGTTTTTAATTTTAGATGTTTTCCCTTTATTTTTAGTTTGTTATTTGTTCATTTTCGTTCAGTCTCTTTCTTTCTTTCTAGTGATGAGCTCTCATGTGAATGCCAAAGTTTGATGTTGGATTGTTGACTCTAAATCTACTATTGTCAAGTTTTAATAATAAAAGTATATCGAGTTAATGTGGTTGAGTCCAAAACGTCTCTTTGGTGAATATCGGTGACTGCTTGACTCTTTTGATTTCTTTGTTAACTTTTCTAGGCATAGGGAATGACTGTTGGCATTTTCATGTGAATTGGTCCAATATTGACCTAGTTCTTCATGTTTGGCAATAATGAGGCTAGCTGCTCCTAAATTTTGTTTTTAGCGGTATTATTTTACATTATTGTATTATTTGGCTGTGAATAAGTTTGGCTGTACGCTGCTATTAGTTACTACTGAGTAATCGGGAATTCTCACCTAAAAGTGTCGATTCTCGCGTCAAAAAGTAGTAATTTCTGAATACGTGGTCGTATAGCGATAGGAGCTGAGTAATCGGGTTTCTTCATCTGAAAAATGTCGGAGTTCGCGTCAAAAGACTCCAATGACTAAAGACTAAGTCTTTTGTGCTATCTAAAAAAAAAAGAGAAAAGAAAAATAATAAATAATAGAAAATGTGAAAAAAAGTGCAGGTTGTGTTAGTGTGAGTTAGAGGTCAGCTTGCCGATTATGGATTTAATATGGAGATTTTGGTTAATATTTGGACCATTTGCTGATAAATGTTATGCGTCATTTCTTTTTCTTAGATTAGTTAATTTGGAATTGAAGAGGGTTGTGGTTTAGAAGCTAACCGGGGTAATGTTTCTCGGATTTCGATCACTAATGCTTGATATATGATTTTTCTTGGTATCTTGGCAATATGGTAGATAGAGCAATAGCCATTGTCAAATATTGGTGTTTGTTAACTGTTCTTATGCTTGAGGACAAGTATGGTTTAGGTGTGGGAAAAATTGATAGGTTGCAATTTTGTCATTTATTTTATTATTAATTTTCCCTATTACTTGACCTGATATAGATTAATTATTATATTCTACTCACTTTTCATAATTTACATTTATTTTAGGAAGTAGAATGAAAATATAATAACAAGTGTCAATTTGACAGAAAAGGAGTCCAAGTCACAGAATAACCCCAGGGGCAATGTTGGCAACAGAAAAATTGGGGCCTATTTCGGTAATTGCTAAGGAAAAGAAAGACGGAAGTCTTCCTCACCGTTGGGCAAGCCGCCGCACGAGAGCATCAAAGGCTACTTAGATAGAAATTGAGTAGAGGACTTTTTCTTTTTTTTTAGCTTTTGTTGACTTTTCCCTGAGACCTTTTCTTTTGCTTTTGATTCTTACGGATGTCAGGAGCACTTAGAAGATTCAATCACTCTATTTAAGTTTCGTTCCCTTTCATTCGTACGGACGAATTGAATTTCCCCAATTTCAAAGTGTGTGAACCCAAAAATTTTCACATTTTCTAACCAATATTTTATTTTCTTGCCTATATTTTATACTGTCCTTTAAAATATTAAAATTTCTATGTACTTTATAGGTAAGTACAGTTTTAAAATTATTTTCCTAGTATGAGTTAGTGTACATTAGTTTTAAGTGCGTTATAGACGTGGGACCCGCTCGTGTGATATAATTTTGGTGACTAAGTGAGGTTGGTGCTAAGTGTTATTATTTACTAGGTGTTTAGAGATAATTAGAAGTTACCAAATGGATTAGTGTTGGAGAGACAAAATGATAAGTTTGAAAACAAAAGGTGCCAAGTGTCGCGTTTTGGTTGGTGTTGGACTTTGACTATTTTTCCTCCACCTTTACTAAATCCAAAATTTGACTAAGATCATCTTCATTTCCTCCTAGAGCTGGCCGAAATTTGGAGAGCAAAAGAGAGAGAAAATCTTCATCTTTCACTTCAATTTCTTACCCAAATCTTGAGTTTCAACCGATTAACTTGCAAATTACCCCATAAAACTTACTTTCCAAGTAGTTTTCAAGGTGTTTGTGAAGTTATTTTTGGAGGACAAAGCCTAAGCTACCATCTTTCTTAGGGAGATAAGGTAAATTGTCAAGAAACTCCTTCTTTACTTCAATTAATGGGCAATTTGTGGTTATAGTTGTTGAATTAGTAATTTTGTGAGAAAATTATATGGGTTGAAGTAGGTTTATGAAAATTTCAGTTTCTTGGTGAACTTTCTGCCCTAATATGACGATTAATGATTGGCTATGGTTTGATAGCTTTGATATGTGAAATAGCTAGTGTTTAGATGTTAGTTTACTTGGCCTAAAGAAATTTCTAGTTTGTAAGCATAAATTCCAACTTGGATGATAACCTGCCCTGCTTCTGCCCGGTTCTATTTCACCATGTTAGAGGCCGAACTAGCCTTAGTACAAAACATGAAAGTTGTATAGAATGATGTTTTATAGTTGCCTGCAAAATTTCAGCTCAATTGTAGCAACATAGCCTGTGAAAAGACGGAAATACCCTGACTGCCATAGGATTAAAGTCAGTGAACAGTTTTGACAGTGCACCAATCTGATCGTGTCTTTTCACCTTGATACATACTTAACTAGCATTTAGTCAAAACATTAAAGTTGTAGTGCTATGTCTTAGTTTTCCAACGCCCCTGGAATCACCTCGTTTGGACTTTGGTAGCCTGAGTTATTGTCGTTTACGCATAAGGCGGTCAACAAGCCCGAATGTGAGATGCTGGTTCTGTTATTTGAGATTTTGACTTAGATACACTACAAACTGGACTGAGTGGTCTTCATCAAAGTTATAGGCTTTTGTCTTAGCTTCAAAAAGGTACAAATTTCACCCCAATCCGATAAGCGTAGCTTCGGTGGTATCCGTTATGCAAAACAACGTCAAATCTGTCTTTTGTTTTCCAACTTAAACTTCATTTCCGCACATGCTCCTAGCTTGATTTTGTACTTGTATGACTTGGAGCCTATGGAATGGCTATTGAAATGAGATGATTTTGTATATGACTTTGGGTTTGATTGAGGAAAAGAATGAAGTCATAAATGGCTGGAAAATAGGTAAATACAAAGGGCGTGCTACCCAAATTTACGCTCGAGAACTAGGTCGATATACTTGCGACTTGAGTAAGGCTTGAGAGTGAATACCACGCGAACCATCTAGGGTATTTACGTTTTCTTTGCCACTTCGACTCAAATAGCGATTTTAAAATTTTACAAGTGAGTCTAAGTTTACAAATATTTTACTTATGTTATTTGGTTTCAATGTACTCTTTTCACTACCAAAACCATATTTATACTTTGTACTAGTACGTATTCGACTTTTCTTTAACTCACTTACATCTTTGATGGTTGAAGTATAATATGTTCGTTTGATTATATTAGGATACCTTGGTGATTGATGGTGTATCCGGAAGGAAACTTTGGACGTTATTTTGCTTAAATAGGTGAGTGTTCCTTGTTGCTATATTTTCCTTGACTTCATAGCTTGTTGTTATTGTTTGGTAATGTGTTAATTGCTCTTAATGATTGCCAAAACGAGTTTTCTAGGCGAGTGTGTACTTTATCGCACTCGACCTAAATGATTGTGAAATTTTCAATGATTGAACGATTATATGCGCATGTATGTAAGCCTTTTGGCTGAACTGAGCCCTGCCCTTCGTTACCGATCGACTTGAGCCAGAAGCGGATTCGGTCGGGTGATATGGTGACCCTGGGTGAATTTGGTATACTCGAGTATTACCTTGAATTTTGGTGGAGCCTGGCCAACGTCCAGGAAGGGGGTGAACGAAATGAATGAACGAACGAGGGTTTTACTTACATTTTCAAATGATTGGAGGAATAAGGGGAAATGACAGGAGAACGAATGACCGAACGAATGAATG